TTTGAAAAGTTAAAAAAAAAAGTTGGCCAGGCCCACCAGTCACATTACCCCCACCACCATTAAGCCATGCCCACAGAACTGGTAGTAACAAATTTTACATTTCACCCCTGGGGCCAGAGTATACGCCCAGAACTATGCCGGAGGTGCCCTCTGGATTCCAGCCACTGTAGTAGAAATATCTGGCCCTTGCTCGTACAAAGTCGAGCTGGAGGACAGTAGATTCTGGTGACAGCACTTGTACTAATTCTGAGGCTGTCTTGAGAACTCACTGCTACAACCACCATAGACAGTTCAACCCAACCAAAGGCCGATTCCCAGACATGGTAGCCTACAAAATAAACAAATGTCTAACAATAACTCAAACCCAATTGTACAGCAGGAACACCCATCTGAAGAACCAAGACTCCAGCATAGACTTCCGGATGGGCTGGGCCAAGAGACTCCAACCACACCTCATGACGAAATCCCGAAGATTCCATTGGCGAGAACTGAACCAACTACAAATTTATTTATTTATTTATTTTATTTTATTTCAAATTTATATACCGCACCTTCTCCCAAGGGACTCAGGGCGGTGTACTGCCAGATAAAAACATACAATACAAACATTAAAAACAATTAAAAGAATATATATTAATTTGGCCCCAGTTTAAAATGACAAACCAATTAAAAATTAAAAATTTAAAAATATGTTAAGCCAGCCCGGCTTGATGAAAAAAGAAAGTTTTAAGGGCACAGCGGAAGGCGCCGAGGTCTTGGATTCTCCTTATCTCAGGGGGCAGCTGGTTCCATAGGGTAGGTGCCCCCACAGAGAAGGCCCTCCCCCTGGGGGTCACCAGCCTACATTGTTTGGCTGAAGACACCCTGAGGAGGCCCTCTCTGTGGGAGCGCACGGGTCGATGGGAGGTTGTCGGTAGCAGCAGGCGGTCTCGAAGATAACTAGGTCCAATGCCATGGAGTGCTTTGAAGGTGATAACCAACACCTTGAAGCGCACCCAGAAGACCACTGGGAGCCAGTGCAGCTCGCGCAGGAGTGGTTTTATGTGGGAGTGCCATGCAGCTCCCGTAATTTCCCGTGCGGCCGCATTCTGGACCAGTTGGAGCCTCCGGGTGCTCTTCAAGGGGAGCCCCATGTAGAGAGCATTGCAGTAGTCCAGGCGAGAGGTGACGAGGGCATGAGTGACTGTGCACATGGAATCCCGATCAAGAAAGGGTCGCAACTGGCGAATCAGGTGAACCTGACAAAAGATCCTCCTGGATACAGCCATCAGATGTTCCTCCAAGGACAGCTGCATATCCAGGAGGACTCCCAGATTGCGCGCCCTCTCTGAGGGGGCCAAAGACTCACCCCCAATAGTCAGCGATGGAGTCAGCTGACTATATCGGGATGCCAGGAACCACAGCCACTCAGTCTTGGAAGGGTTGAGCTTGAGCCTGTTCCTCCCCATCCAGATCCGCACAGCCTCCAGGCACTGAGACATCACTTCAAGGGCATCGTTGGGGTGGCCTGGGGTGGAGATGTACAGCTGGGTGTCATCAGCGTACTGGTGGTACTTCACCCCAAAGCCACGGATGATCTCACCCAGCGGCTTCACATAAATGTTGAACAAAAGGGGCGAGAGGACCAACCCCTGAGGCATTCCACAAATGAGAGGCCTTGAGGTCAACCTCTGCAAATAAGAGACACAAACTCAAGGTAAACTGTTCCAAAGTTGATTGCAGAAAATATGACTTCAGTAACAGAGTGGTCAATGCCAGGAATGTACTACCTGACTCTGTAGTTCCTTCCCCAAACACCCAAAACTTTAAACTTAAACGGTCTACTGTTGACCCCATTCCTAAGAGGTCTGTAAAGGGCATGCATAAGTGTACCAGTGGTCCTACCATTCCTGTCCTAATATTCCTCTTTACAGGAAACAATGGTTGGAAACTAACGAAAGAGAGAAGCAACCTAGAACTAAAGAGAAATTTCCTAATAGTCAGCAATCAATCAATGGAATAGCTTGCCTTCAGAGGTTATGAATGCTCCATCATTGGAGGTTTTCAAATAGAAACCTGGGCAACCATTTGTCTGAAATGGCATAGGGTCTCCTCCTCGATTATTGGGTTTGGACTAGAAAAACCTCTGAGGTCCTTTCAAACTCTTATTATTCTATGTTTTATGTTTTATGTTTTGCTGCTTCACCATCACAGCCCCATCTGAGGCAAGACCATTTGCAGTTATGGGAAAATGGGAGAAGGTGGAGAATACAATTTTGGAGCCTTGGTGGTGCGGCGGACTAAAGTGCTGTTAAGTAGCACTTAGCTGCCAGCTGCCTGCAATTACTGTGAGTTCAAATCACACCAGGCTCAAGGTTGACTCAGCCTTCCATCCTTTCGAGGTAGGTAAAATGAGGACCCGGTTTGTGGGGGCAATAAGCTGACTTTGTATAAAAAAGAACACCGCTTGGGGGGGCCAAAAGCCCTACTAAGCAGGTATATACAAAAGTATGACGGCTATTGCTTAACGCATTGTAAGCCACCCTGAGTCTCCGGAGAAGGGCGGCATATAAATCGAATAAATCAATCAATAAATAAATTTTGCCATCAGTCCTGATCAAGATGAAGTTAGCGAAGTTTAACTTTGGGCTAGGAATGTAACAAAAGTTGCATATTTATGTTATCTCTATCAAAGAATAGCTATTGAAGCATATCCATTAGTTCAGGAGATCTGTGCCCCCAGAAGAGGCTTTGATTAATATCTTGTTGCTATGTTAGAAACTTTTAGCCAGCAAAGTTCAATCTTAATGCAGAACAAACAATCCAGCTGAACTCCTTAGCTTGGAGATCACTTTGTGATCACAATAAAGGGTTGAGGGTTGTTGGAATATTCTGATGTTTGTTTAGTTTTGAAAATTAGGTTGTCACCATAGAGCTATTTCTGACAAAAAAGCATCCCAAACTAGCACAGGTTGTTTAACTTTGGAAGATTTTTCTCTATTAATTCTCTCTAACTTACCGTCAGAGTTCCAAGTAATATGCCCATAGCAAATAGGATTCTGAGGCAAGCAGGTTCCTCAAATATCAGTTTTATTGGACATATCATAGAGGCATAGGCTGGTGAAAACTGACTCTAAATGTTGCCACAGTTTTCATCTAATAAAAACTAAAAGTTTTCCTTCCCTTTCCAAACAATCAGTCACATGGTCCAATCAAGGTGTCATCTGGTTGCTTGGTGAGTTCACTCATCCTCCTCCTGGCCATTGTTGGGAATGTCCTTGGTTCCCAGGAGAAAGTATTTTGTTTTGGCGACAAAACCTCAGCTATTTCTATTTCCCCCCTCCATATCCCTCAGCTCCAGTGTGGCAACACCGAAACATTAAAATGGCCTCAGTCAGGTCAGCTTCAGGATTGACACTCACTCTCAAATACCACAAACTGGGCAACTGCTCTTTGGAATATCTCACCCCTTTCTACAACTAATTTAATATTGAGGAATTGGAAGGGGAGAATCCGTGGAACGTCAAGGGAGAAGACTTACCTGCCATGGCTGTAAAATCTGGGGTGATTGATGGTCTCCAACTTGCATTCTACTCTTACTCCGTTGGGAGGACAAAACAGCACTGAGGACCCAGGCCACAATTTGAATTATTTGGGAAATACTGGAGGAATCCTGAGACAGGATTCTTGCAATCACATCATTGGGTGGGAATTCCCAATTCTCTTTTTCTCTGCATTTTTTCCAAACTTTCTTAGATAACACAGGACTTGTATAAGAACATTGGAACACTTCCTTTCCATACAATATTACCATAGATGCATAAGATTTAATGTTATCATACTGAGTCCTTCTCTTTGTCTGGATGAGGAAGGAAAACAAAGCATATTTATTTTGGAGATCAACCCAGTAGTAAAAACTATCTACACTTGAAGCTGTCAAAGTTGTTGCAATCCACACCCTTCCCACAATGGATGTATCAATCCTTTGTATTATTACTGCTAACATTCCCAAGGCCTGAAAATCCAGTTGGCATACTATAATTTTTATTTGACTCTTGATAAGAGAAAAGAAGATTTTCATTTTTTCTTGCATGAGAGTTTCTCCAGCACTTTTATGCACATTTGCTTCTGGGACGGTTCCTGAGAGGACAATGCAAATCCCATTTTTTAGAGTGAGAACTTCCAAGCGTCTTTTGAATTTTTCTCCTTTTTCATTATCCTGAGAAAGGAGGCCGATCCACGTCCATTGGAACTGCAGGAGCAGCTGGACGATTGCTGAGTCAGGAGGTTCTTGGTTTGGGGTCATCCGATATGAAAAAGGAAAACGATGGTTTTTCTCAGCCATCTGGTTGATGACACTATAGTTGATCTAAGATGAAAGAGAAAGTATTGGTAGTTTGTACCAGTTTTAATGATAAAAGTCAGATGGTAAATCTAAGGGTGTTTCCACACTGTTGAGAGACATTTCAAATGATAACTGCATGAATTTTGCTGGTTCCCTTGATGTTCTGTCCTGTTGTCTTGTATGCTGCCTTTGAAACCAGGGAGCTCTGAATTATCCATGGGTGATGTTCATTGGTGGTCCTCATAGAGCACTTCCTTCATTCCACATCAGAATTCTGTGGGTCACCCATCCACTCAGTCAGTTAGTCAATCAGAATAGAGCTGGAAAGTCTTCTAGTCCAACCACATATGTGTTGGTGTGTTTCTGTGAGCGTGTGCTTTGTGCACATGTGCACCGTTCAAAATACATCAATTTCAAGCTCTATAGCTTACCTTCTAGGGCAGCCCCAGTAGGTAAAACAGCTGAGGCTCTGAAATCCACCATGCCATGCAAATCAGCTGACCTGAGAAATGTAGGACAGGATAGGGTGGGAGCAGGTTGGCAGGGACAACTGATTGTCGGAACTATTGGTTCGCTAGAACCAGGCCGAACCAGCACCAGCCCATCACTATTTGTATATAGAGACATACACACATACTTTGTGAATTAAACATTCTTTCAGATGTTCTAATATATACTCTCTGACTTTCAATTTATTTGGAGAAATATATACAACTGCTGCCTTCTAGGCAAATCTGAACATTTTACAACACAGAATTAATTTCATTTGACTTTATACCTGTGGAAATTTATAGATGCTCAAGACATTGGAAATATGATCGAAGAGTTCAGAATCCATCTCTTCAAGAATCGCCAGCAGGTTCTTTTGTCTTCCACATCTGTAGTTTGGGATGTTCTCCTGTCCTGTAGACAGCACATCCAGCATGGCCTCATATGTCATTCTTGCACTGAAAAAGTTCTCATAGATGTTGTAGCCCAGAGTGATGTTGGGTAAGAGCCTTGAATTCTGGTTGACCTCATGAACAGCCAACAAGAAGGGCAGAATGTGGTAGAAGGTGTTCTCACTGCAACGTAAGAAATTTCATCATCTTTTTTTGCTCTACATCAGCGATTTATGTGATCAACTTAAAAGCAGTTGATGTAAAATTATTCAATTCTACATATAATTCTGTTGTTTTGCAAAGTGATCTTGACTATGTGTCTGAATGGTCATCTATTTGGCAAATTCATAAATGTTCTGTCTCACATATTTGGTAAACATAATCGGAATATCAAGTATAAGCTAGGTGGCATTGATCTAGCAGATGACTCTCACCTTGTTAAGGACCTAGGTGTACTTATCTCTGATGATTTATGCGCCAAAGCTCACTGTAACAGCATTGCTAAAAAAGCATTAAGAGTTGTAAACTTAATTTTGCAAAGCTTTTTTTCTGTAAAACATTTTATTGCTCATTACAGCTTATAAAACTTATGCCAGACCAATCTTCGATTATTGTTCATGTCGAGCATCAGGCAACACTCGACACCCTGACGTTCCAATGGAAAAGAAAGGCACTACAGGAGGGGGGATATGGGCACAGGTGACAATGTGGGGGGGGAGTGAAACACGGCAGCTCGGTGTCATACCCACTGGTGGAGAAATATAGTGGGGCTCGTGTGGGGTCCTGGCACGGCGTGTGTCGGATAGCAATCCAGCCAGGAGCGATGAATTCCTGATGACATCATCTTCCTGCAACCCTACCAGCCGCAGATTCGAATGCCCTTCAGCTGAGAAAAATTATGAACACACGCCGACTAGCAATCAACTGAGCACGGACCTATAAAGCATAGCTGAGGGGCAGACTCCCTCAGCTCTGACTTTATTCATGTTATTGTACCGATAATGACTGGAAGCCACTGTGTAGCCAGACATTAAACTGAGTTTACTGGCCGTGGCTTGGCGTCTTTCCTGAATTCCTGCACTGGCAGCCTTGTGGAGCCAAGAGGAAGTCAGAGCTTTTCCCTTTGCATAGTCCCACTTGGTGAGTGACATTTAGCGAAGGATGGTGGAGGGAACGACGGTTGGGGTGCCATCCATAGAACCGAATGGAGTGGAGGGGGATGAGAAGAGCATAGAGGCACCTGTGGTCCGGCCAAAACAATGGGATGCTCATCCGGAGGAGGCGCTGGAAGACCAGAGTACACAAGGAGCAGGGGGTTCTTATGCTGCATCTGGGCATTGGTGGCATAGCTCCGCACTGCTGGGGAAACTAGGTTTGAGAGCCCCTACACCCCCTCCCTTAGAGGCTCAGTTCCAAGGCTGGAGAGAATGGCAGTGGACTGAAGATGAGGAGGGGGAGTGGAGGTACTCCACCAGTGACCACAATGGACATTTTAAGAGAATGATTCAGAGAGGGGAGTTTCCGAGATGCACCGTCATGGCAACCATGGGCAACAGGATTGGAACCTTCAACCACCTGGCAAGGTGGGGCTGCAGCAGGGGGAGGGTCTGAGAGCAGGCTCCATTTGGCAAGTCCCAAATTCAGACCAGAGCAAAGGCAGGGCCGGTCTCAGGTGGACAATGATTATCATGTCCCAGTGGCTTCTGCTTCATTGTTGGGGGATGTGATTCGGGGTTCCAGCCAGTCACAGCCTAGACCATTGAGGGACAGGGAGAAAGGTCAAGGGAACAGACGGCAGGCGGGCCAGACCAGAGGGGACCATGATGGACCCATTGGGGATCCTGTAACTGTATGGGCCCCGAGCACAATGTGGCCCACACAGGAACAATGGGGACCCCCACAATGAGCCCACCACCAGTGCAAGTTACCTTTGATGGAGCATCGGAAAAGATGGCCCTGTTCCTTAGCCAAGTGATCAGCCATATGGACCTCTATGGTCATTTATATGCTTCCCAATGGGCAATGGTTGTGGCCATTACAGCGGTACTCATGGGGGAGGCAGCCAATTGGGTGGCTGACCTCCACAGCGATCATGCCATGAATTAACAAAACTTAGTTTATTTCTGGAAGCGCTGTGCAGCCGCTTCGAAGATGAAGCTCGTACCCAGGCGGCTGAGGGGGAGTTAGTTGCTCTGAAGCAATGGGACTGGATAGCTAAAGAGTATGTAAAGGAGTACAGGAAGCTGGCCGGGAGGCTGAGAACCTAGCCTGAATGGCTCCTAATACACCAATTTCACATGGGTCTGGATAGGGAGCTCAGGCAGGCCTTGTATTTATAGAGGCCTCGCATCCCGTTTACCTGACTGGTACCAGGCAGTGGTGGAATTGGACATTGGCTTGCAGGAATTTAAACCAAGGATGGGGCCATCTGGACTCATCCATGCTTGACGAGGGGGAGTACACCTGGTAGGGGAACGGGATGTGGTGAAACCCTTTCTACCGATGGGTTCTAAGACAACTGAACAAGCAAAACAGCCCTTTCATTGTTATCGGTGCAACCAGGAGGGACACAGGGCAGCAGAGTGTCCTTTGCCACCTCCACGCATATCAATGCCCCTGGTTTCAGCTCTGGGGACCAAAGGCAAAGATCGATCACAACAAACTCCAGAAAGATCCAGGATTGCAGCCCAAACTTCAATGACTGATACGACCCCGCCTGCTGGTGTTAGAAGTCCTCCTGGGACAGCGTCTGTTCCTGCAGATTCCGGGATGAGTGAAACACAGGAGGAGGTACAGGACCCCACGGTAAGCAAACCGATACACCAGTTCATTATCCTGGTTACTATCAGACACCTAGGAATGGGGAAGGAGGGAGACCTTGGGGCGCTCATAGATTCCGGATGTACCCGATGCCTAATCCGTTGCTCAATTGTAGAAGCTTTGGGAGTACGCATAGTCAATTTGCAGAAACCTATCACTTTCGAACAGATGGATGGGTCAACCCTTGGGGGCCATCTGGCCACCCATGTAACCGAACCCATTCATTTGAAAATTGGGGAACACCACCGGTTTGTGGTGATATACCACATGATCGAACTAGTTATCCTGGGACTTGCTTGGCTAGATAAGTGGAAACTCATGATATGGTGGGAGGCTGGTTTCTGTAAACTACGGTTAGAAAAAGGACCAGAGCCCCTTATAAACATGCACAATAGAGGTGAGAGAAAAAACGTTTCACTACCCCTATCGGAGAGGGGTTTCCTAAGTATGTATGGTGATCTAGTGCAAGTCTTTAGTGAAGGTGAATGTGAATCCCTACCACCCTATCGTGAGATGGACTGTGCCATCGAATTAATACCCGGAGCCTACTTACCAAAACCCCAGATGTATTCGATGGCTCCCAGAGAACTGGCGGAATTGCGGAAGTACATTGATAAAAACCTGGCCCGGGGTTTTATTAAGCCTAGTAGATCACATCTGGCTACTACGGTGTTATTCTGGGAGAAAAAGGATGGAGGCTTATGCCTCTGTGTTGATTACAGAGTTTTCAACGTTATATGTGTAGAACCGTTATATCCCCTCCCGCTTATGACGGACTTGTTAACCACCTTAGTAACTGGTAGGATCTTCACTAAAGTTGACCTTCGTGAAGCGTATTATAGAGTGTGCATCCAACCAGGGGATGAATGGAAAACCATGTTCAATTGTCCCCTGGGAAACTATCAGTTCCAGGTCATGCCATTTGGGCTTCAGGGTGCTCTGGCCATCTTTATGCAGCTGATCAATGAGGTTCTCCACAATCATTTGTATTGCAGTGTTCTGGTATACCTCGACGACATTCTGATCTACACGAACACCATGGAAGAACACACACGATTGGTTAGACAAGTGTTAACAAAATTGTTGGAAGCCTGACTCTTTGTGAAACTCTTGAAATGTGAGTTTCACCGGACAGAGATAGACAATTTGGGCTTCAGGATTAATGGAGAAGGGATTGAGATGGATCCAAAAAAGATGGAAGCAGTGTTGGAGCGGCAAGCACCAAGGACCAGAAAACAACTACAGAGCTTCCTTGGGTTTGGCAACTTTTACAGACAATTTATTCCATTGTTTGCTCAGGGTGCTTTACCTTTAATCGATCTCTTATGCACAAAAATGACGGTGGGCACCAAACCCAAACCAGGACATGTTTTGAATTGGTCTCTGTGTGTCAAAAGGCATTCAAATGGTTGAAGGAGTTATTTGACAGAGAACCAATCCTCAAACACCCGGATTTATCGAAGCCTTTTGTCGTAAAGGCTGATGCCAGTGATGTTGCTGTTGGAGTGGTTCTGCTGCAACAAAACACACAAAATAAGTTCCAACCCTGTGCTTATACCTCACGTAAACTAACACCCACTGACAGGAACTGGGTTGTGTGGGAGAAGGAGGTGTTCACTGTGAAATGGGCATTACAAATGTGGAGACACTTATTAGAAGGTACAGAGAATGTTTTCGAGGTCTGGACAGACCATAAGAATCTGGAAGCGCTCCAAATGCCCCGTAAATTATCCCCCAAACAGGTCAGGTGGGTGCAGTATTTCCAATGGTTCAGGTTTGTTCTCAAATACGTACCCGCAGGGCAGAATTTCCTGGCTGACACCCTATCACGCATGCCCCAATACAACAGTAAGAGGGATGGGGTAATGCAGGCCATGATACCTCCTACACAGATTGGAATGTGAGCGATAGACAAGAAACAGGCAAAGTTCAGCTGGATAAATGTCCTAAAGAAGGAGATCGAGGCTGATGCCTGCTCCAGGCAAACATGACGTCAGTTACACACCGAGACGGGTTGGCATGGAGAGTAGACAGACTCTATATCCCAACGCTCCTGAGGACAAAGGTAACGGAGCAATGCCATGACGTCAAAACAGCAGGGCATTTTGGGTTTTTGAAAATGCTACATCTGGTTAGATGGCAATTTTGGTGGCCCAGGATGCGTAGGGACATAGAGGAATATGTCCGGGGCTGCCCAGTCTGTGCTACATCCAAACCACAACCGGGAAAACCCCTTGGTTTCTTGCAAACAGTTGCTGAACCCAGTAGACCATGGAACAAGATATCCATGGACTTTATGGTCGAGCTACCCAACAGCAAAGGACATACAGTAATATGGACTGTACTCGACCTGTTTTTGAAAC